TTGCACCATCTGCTACGACTGAAAGAGATTTGGAGAATAATAGTCTACCAGTGTCAAGTCAAGATGAGGCAATTCCTTCAACTTCAACTGCAGAGCCTCACTTAAGTCAAGATGAGGTAATTGCTTCAACCTCAGTTGCAAAGCTTCATACTTGTAACGATTTTCAATTGACAATTTCCCCTGCACACAATAGAGCAACAACTTAATTTGGAGCAAACAGCCCTAAAGACATTCGTCCTCTGCCAAAGAAAAGTAAATTAATGGAACCAAAGAGGAAATCTAAAAAAGGTAAAACGGCTGTACTGACATCTAGTTCGTATAAGCTAGAATTAGAACTTGAAATAAACACGAAGGAGGCAATAGAAACAATGAAAAAGGAAAAAGCTAAGAAAAAAATAAATGATGATAAGCACGAAGATAGTGAAAGAAGTAACAAAAAAACAAAAGTTTGTCCTTCCAAAGATGATAAGGGAAAGAAAAAAAAATAAATGTAACCATCAAGTACAAGATGATTGCAATGGTGAAGATGCTGAATGTTTTAACTGTAACGAGTGGTTCTCCTCATCAGCCAATGAAGAAGGATGGGTACGTTGCTCGGCCTGTCTGAAATGGGCTCATAAAGCATGTGCGGGAATAGATCCAGAAGATGATGAAGAATTTCAGTGTGAATTTTGTATTTCTGAATAAATATAACATGTGTCTATTTTTACTAATGTTCTGTTACCGGTTTTCTAAGTATTTTTAATAAAAAAATTCTTTTTGCTTGATTTTATTTACCAAACATAGCCATTAGATAATGAAATAGTGTGACTTTCCTCAGTAGTTCACATTGCCCCACCCTATGGGGCAATGTGAACTTTTGACATATAGTCAGTTGTCATTTTTTTGTTGAAAATACGTTAAATAAATTATGTTTCAATTGCAAACTAAATGACAGTTAAATGTTTAATGAAACGTCCCTAATTAATTAAACAAAACAAAATCAATTCTGGTTTAACAGTATGTCCATATCTTCCTTAGATGGTTCACAATGCCCCATCCTCCCCTAACCACCATGTAAATGTTGTTGATGATTTTGACTCAAAGGATGAGGATGTTCTTATTGATAATCTGACTATATTTACCATTTATGAAAATATTAATTCCGATTTAGAGAAAAGTTGGACAGAAAATGTATGTATTGATAATAGTATAATTGAGTTTAAGGTTGATTCTGGGGCTTAATGTAATGTACTTCCACTAAGTTGGATTAAAAAATTAGAAAGGGAGAGTGAAATAGTTCATTGTGAGCAAAGTATTGTAGCGTGTGGTGACATGTATGAGTTGTAGGCAGTATAGTCCTAAAATGTTTAATCAAAAATAAAATTAGAAATATAAAATTTGTAGTTATAGATGTACAAGGCAAACCTATTCTTGAATTAAAAACATGTGTAAAGTTAAAAATAATTTGCAAACTGGATGAGATTAATTTAAACAATAAGAGAGATACCAAAAACAGGTTCATTACAGCGTGATGGATATTTCAGATGCCTTTTATCATATGGGGTTAGATAAAGATAGCCGAAAATTATGCACATTCATAACCCCATTCGGCAAATATCGCTTTAAGAGATTGTGTTTTGGCCTATCATGTAGTTCAGAAGTTTTTCAACGGCTAAATAATAACATATTTTAGGATTTAGATGTTCCAGTATACTTTGATGACATAATAATAGCAGGAAAAGATGAAAGAGAACATGACTTGATAATGAATAATAAAGTATTAGACAGAGCTAAGCAATTTAATGTTAAATTTAATTCTAATAAGTTACAATATAAAGTAAATGAAGTGAAATATTTGGGGCAGATTAATTCCAAAGAGGGGATAAAACCAGATAACTCATATGTAGAGGCAATAATGGCGTTAGAGGTACCAGAAAATAAAAAACAATTGTTAAGTATACTGTGAATGGTAAATTATCTAATAAAATTTATATTAAATTTAACAGAAATAGTAGCACCACTAAAGGTAAGCGTTCATTGAGACGGAGCGGACGCGACGAACGCGGCGGACGAATCGCATTTGTTTTAAGACATGCGTGCATTTGGTCGGATTTGAGAGGCGTAGGCATGCACGTTTTGCACTTTCATTATTGTACTGAAGTAAGTAGGTACATTTATTTAATACGTGTCTATCTATTTGCCTTAATAATAATATTAATAAGATATGAGTGAAAGTGAATGTGAAACTCTAGCTATTGCTTGCTTATTAATTGAAGAAGAAGAACAGAGAATGAAAAGAAAGAGGAAGCGATTTTGGGTCCATGATATTTGTAAAAAGAGACTAACATTTGGAGAATATCATTCATTATTTCCAGATCTGATAAGAGATAACATAAAATTTTTTCAATATTTTTCGCATGACCCATGAAAAATTTTCGACTCTTTTAGAAATGCAGAAACCGGTAATAGTTAGAGAAAATACCACATTCAGAAATGCCATTGGACCAGAAGAAAGACTAGCAATTTGCTTAACGTATGTTTTATTTTATTAAAAACTGTATTAAACACTGTTTATAATCTAAAAATAAAAAATCAAATGCCACCTATCTCAAGGAGTAGACTGTGTATGCGAGTTAATACCCACTAGTTGGTGATTATTCTTGAGGATAACCTTGAACAGAATTGGTACTTAGCTCAATGAAAGTACGTTCATTGTTGGAATGCAATGGAGTATATATTTGCGCACAATCTCCTTCTTGGGGTGCGATACCATGACTTCTGGGTATATCTTGAGTAAGCAATACCTGGCGCTGTGGGCGATACATCTGATAATTTGTAAATCGCGATGCTGTTTCATTGTTCGTAACTATAGAAGAAGTATTCGGTTGGGCCTGTAATGTCGCAATTTTTGTCTCCACTGCATTCACCATTTGAAATAGATTACCCTTAATTTCTACCTGGTCTTTCAAAGGAAAAGTTTTAACGGTATGCGCCATATTTATGAAAAAGCTTGTTAAAGTGTCTTCCTGTACCTGTTGACTACGATGAAAAGTTTCAGATTTATTTTGTAAGTAATCCTTTAAAACAGATGCCGCTGATACTTCAGCTGTAGTAATTTTCCGTTTTTTGCCGCTCCTGGTCGGTGTAGGCTCACGTGATAAACTAGGAGTTGAAACCGATGACTTATTTTCCTCATTATGGTCAGTATTTACTTCTGTTTCTTCCTCGACGTCTGACGGACCCCCTTGAGGAGAACTTATATTAGATTGTCTTTTCTCCTCGTCAAAAAGATATGATACCAAAAAACTTAATTCTTTCTCGAACTTCGCGCTTCTTATTTTTGACGCAGCCTGTCCACTTTTTGTCTTACGAAGGTTAAGTGCTTTGCGATGGTTATCACGGATCCTTTTCCATCTCTCGCGGCACAACTTTCCTGAAAAAAAATCTAATATTGTACACACAAATTGTAAACACAAATAGTATAAAGTTGTTTACTACTTATAAAATATATTTTTTCAGATTTTTAGCAACAGGAAATTCGTTTCGGTCATTAGCATTTAGTTTTCGAGTAGGAGAACGCGCTGTACGAGAAATAATACATTCAACCTGTTATGCTATTTGGAACATCTTACAGCCAGTCGTTCTGCCAACACCAGGTCAGAAAATGTGGAATAAAATAGAAGAAGATTTTCGCAATAAATGGAACTTAGGAATGGAGCAATAGACGGCAAACATGTAATGATTCAAGCACCTGCAGACAGTGGCTCACAATTCTTTTGCTATAAAAAACACTTTAGCATTGTTTTACTAGCTTTGGTTGATGCCAATTATAAATTTGTTGCAATCGATGTAGGTGGATTTGGCAAAAACTCTGATGGCAACATTTTTAAAAATTCAAGCCTGGGTACAGCATTAAGGCTTAAGACGTTAAATATTCCCCCCTACAAGAATTTACCAGGTACAAATATAGCTCTGCCTTATGTAATAATTGGGGACGAAGCCTTTCCTTTGCATACTTAACTTATGAGGCCATATTCCAAAAATCAATGCAACGGCAATGAAAAGAAAAAAATTTTTAATTATAGATTGAGCAGAGCGCGAAATGTTTTAGAAAATGCATTTGGAATATTAGTTAAAAAGTTTCGAATTCTCGAGCACAAATTATATCTCATGATCATGATATTTCTGTGGTACTTGCTGCCTGTGTCCTTCACAATTTTTTAAGGAGTGATGCATGCCACTGGTCGGAAAATGACAACGTTTCAATTTCGGAAATGAGAGGATTAAGAAACTTAGAACGTATAGGTGGCAATCCATCATCTGATGCGGCTGAAATACGAGACCAATTCAAGGAGTACTTTAATTCAGAAATAGGGGCTGTGGATTGGCAAACCAAAAGGATTCGAATCGGAAGACAAGTGACTTAATACAAAATAAAAGTAATAAGAGGGTACAGCAATAAAAAAACATAAATAAGTTTGTAATAACAAGTTCATTTTTGTCAATTAAATATTTTCGTATTAACTTACTAACCTGATTGATTGAGAATATTCCCAATTTCCTCCCAAATATTATCTCTTCGTTGTTGATTACTGTAATCTTTGTGTTGTAAGTTATACAGCTCTTCATAATTTTCAACTAACGCAATTAATGCACCGTCATCCATAATATTTTCTTGACAAAACCCTACAATCACTTTGAAAATTTGAAACTGAAACGTAAAATGTTACGTCTCGGCAGTCAGGCATCGTTCACTAGTCGGATTTGTGGTCGGGGCGCATCGGAGTGGACGAAATAGTTGCCTCCTCTAAAATCCGAAACGCATTTCCGTCAGTACGATGCGGCCGCTCCTCCCCAGTAAACGCACTTACATATGATTTAATGGAATAGATCATTTTATCCGACTCGTCCGTCGCGTTCGTCGCGTCCGCTCCGTCTCAATGAACGCTTACCTTAAGAGGTTTAATAAACAGCAATGTAAAATTTTGAAATTTAATGATTGCACAGCACACTTTATAATGGGACGTACTTTAACTATGTTGCCAGAGTGTGATATTACTCATGTTCCTGAGAACCGTCTCGATAAATGGTAATCTATACAAGTAATGGTTCAACAGCTGTGGTCGAGATGGCAACTGGAATACTTGAACGAGCTACAAATGCGTCAGAAATGGAAATCTAATTGCCACCAAATGTTAAAGTTAGGTTCTTTGGTGCTGATTAAAGACGACAGGACTTCTCCACTTCAATGACCTCTTGGACGAGTGACAGAAATGCATTCAGGTCCAGATGGAGTTACTAGAGTTGTAACTGTTAAAGTGCGTGGGAGTGAAACAAAAATAGCACTCAATCGTATATCGCACACCTATATTAAAAGTGTAGTAACTCAAAAAACCACTTTTTCGACTAATTGAAAAAATCTAATCTACTCGATATAGTAAAAGATTTAAAAGCTTTTGTAAATCATATTGGAAGCACATTGGTTTACGAAGTATTTTGGTATCACATGAGTATTAATCTTGCATTTTTAATAGAAAAAAGTGAGATTTTTTAACTTATTACACTTTCGAAAAATGAAAACCGTCATGAGTTCAAAATTATTTTGAATTAATTCTAAATTAAGATGCAACACTTTTAATCTAAATTTGTCAATGTGAATCATAACACAAAACTGTAGTTTTTTAGTGAAATAGACAAGAGACTTTCAGAAAAAGTAATTATTAAAGTCATATTTTAATTTTAAAATTATTTTATTTATTTTAAACAAAGTATTTTATACAAAAAATATTCAAAAGCAGTCATTACTTTGACACAATGTTGATAAAAACATAAAAACTATCCACAATTGGAAAAAACTAAACTGAGATACAACAGAATATAGACAATAACATAAATACTATTCGCAATGTAAAAAAATTAATCTGCCATCAATACATTAATTTAGGCCTAATCTAATACATTTTTATAATAACTATCATAATAGGTTTTCGGAATTATATTTTTTTCAATAAGTTCGTTAATATCATTTTTTTTTTTAGCATCAGGCAATGGAATACACAAGTTTCAAACCTTCTGAAAATAATTCTCTATTTACTTTAGCTTTCCTTTTCTGTGCTTCCGTTTTCTTGAAATCTACATCAGAGTAGCTCGTTTTATAGAAAAAGACTCCAGGACTTTCTTTTTCAACGCTAAGAATTTTTATGTCATGCCACTTAACTTGGTTTTCATCTTCATCCATAGTGAAATTTGTTCCCCACTCTTCCTGCAAAGCCTTGATATCAAAAAACATGTCATGTGTCATCTCCACGACGGTATAAAGCGGACCAGTTTTTTTTTGCAGTACGAATCAGTGTGGAATACTGTTGCGGAGTGTAAATGGGGCCCGACTTAACATGTCTTTTAATTTGTTTTTCTATTACACTGTGAACATTGTCACCTTCATTCTGTCAATGCCCTCGAATTAAAAACTTGTGTGTAATAGATTTAATTCCCATGTAAAAAACAGCATATGCATAAGCACTTAATAAATATTTATTCTTTTGCTGGCCGCAGCAATTATCAGAGTAAAAAATAATATCTAAATTTTTACCTTCATTATGATTATCAGCTATTAAATTTTGTATATAAGCAAGTACACAGCTTCCAATTTCTGTGGCACCACGTTTACTTTCTGTTTCATCCCAAAAATAACATGTAACATTTCTCACTTTTAAATCACTCACCGTAAAGTTGAAACAGTTTATTCTGGATTTATAAAAGAATAATGACACTTGGCCTTTAGGAACAGGCATCACTGCTTGTAAATCGTATACAGCTACTTTAACATCAGTCCTATTTTTGTCGTTTTCTTTCTCTATTCTTGCCAATTGTTTTTCTCGTAGATGATTTTCATAATTTTCAAGTAATTTTTGTTTATCATTTACATCAGCATTTTTATAACCTTTGACACAAATCACAGAGATCTTTCTTAGGAATATAAAAAGATATGTTAAATTCTGTGTGAAAGATACAATTAAAAGTTGTTTGGGAAGGAAAGGGCAAGTTATCTTTTTCACGACTAAATTTATAGTCTCTATACAAATCTGATAATGATTTGTCGGACTGTATGAATTCACGTGATGTCTGGGCTCTTAAATAATGTGACTCAATTCTCGGAATATCATTTATAAATTCTATAACACTATTTATAATATCAGAGCCAACAGTGGGGTGATTGTTATGTTTGCCTCTAAGTTCCTCTTGAACAATTCCAGAATTAGTTTTCTTAGTAAGCGCTGTATCAATTGGCCTGTCGTTCAAATCAAGTGTAGCTTTAAAAAATTTTTTGCAAACCCGTATACGAGTACCGTTCACTTCAAAAAAATATGCCTTATTCAGTGCTTTTAAATTTTGGGTGCTTGAATATCTGTACTTAGGTTTGATTTCATCTATGTGTCGTAAGATGTAATCTCTTTGACGTTGAAGATCAGCCATTTCCCGATAATTATTAAAAATGCGTTGCCTTTCTTCGATATTAATATTATTATTACATCTCAAACGACATAATTCACCACAACCTTCACGAACCATTCTTCCTGAAATTTCTTTTTTTGACTTAGACATAGAAACGTATGCCTTACCTGAGTTTCGTAACTTTTTTGCTACATTCGTCTTCCAATTCTCAGGTTTTAGGACTCTTTTTTTTCCTTTCTTTTCTCCATTATCTCCAATAGTCGAAACTGTAGACTCAGATGCATTATCGGAACTGTCAGAACTGGTCAAAGAACTGCTGCTGCTGCTGCTGCTGGATGAAGAATTATTAGTTGTAGGAATTAATCTGTTTGAGAATGATTTGTCTGGAGAGACATCAAAATTTGGATCAGCATCGGAATCATCTATATCGCTTTCGTTACTTCGAATGGGTGATATGTAATAATTTTTTCTCTGATCCATATTAACAATATTAGAAGTACTTGGTAGACATAAATGATTATAGGTGTTTTCGTTGGAAATGGTTGGAGTTTCATTTAAATATATGCTATTCTCAGGTAGTAAATTTTCATTTCCAGGCATAAAGGAAGACTTATCACGTTGACGACTAGATTGATTAGATTCCTTTGAATTGAATTCTAAAAAATTTGTGGTGTCATGCAAAGGAATACTTTGAAATGATGAAATGTTGGAAGAATCTTTATTAATGTTTTTATTTTCATGCTTTTGTAAAGCCATGCCAACAAATAAACGGCCACGGCTCGGCATTATACTGAAACAATAACGATAAATAAACTAAACCGTCAAAAGTGAAGCAACTCAAAAATATCTTTTTATTAATTTGAAATGAAAATTTAATATTCCAAAATCTATAAAATAAAAATAAATCTCTTATAGTTAACATAAAATATTCAAAATTATCCCAAATATCAAGAACTAACTAAATTAACGTTACAAAATAAATTCACCATTAATACCGATTTAACCCTAAATTTAAAAAATAGTTCATTAAAAATGTAGCAAAACAAAATAAACTTTAAACAAATTAAAATTTAAGCAACAAAACTGCTACAATTCAAAATGCTGCTGTAAAAATATCTGAGTACATCAGCTAAATTGTATTAAATCTAAATTATTATTGTAGTTTTATCAAGTTTACTCACCAAAACCGTTGCAACTCAAAATGCCACACTGTGAAACCGTACACTCTGCACGAAAGTCGGAGCGTAACTAAAAATGGCGCGGTTTTATAATGCGGGCGAACGAGTAATCATTTAGCAAAATCGACTTACATCGCCATCTGTGACACACTAAGGGAATACAATTACTGCAGTTTTATTGGCGAATAGGTAATTATTCGAGGAATTCAAATATGACCTTAACTCAAATACTCACATTTTTGAGTTGCTACACTTTTAATGCTGGTGTGATGTGTTTTGCCAATACTGTTAATTTTAGTTGTTCAATTCATAATGTTTTGTATGTTAATTTCAATTTAAGTAATGAGAACTGACAATTTTTAACTGTAGTGTTAACCTTTTCTTTTAATTCATTAATCATTGTTTTTATTTTGTTAGTTCTGTAGGTTTTGAAAGAAACTGCGCCCTTTCAAGGGGGCCGGCATGGTTAGACATAAATTGTATTTTGTTAAGTTTAGGTACTTATGTAGTAAAAGAGTTGGCAAGTTTGTCATAATTGATGTAACGGCTGTCAAATTGTAATTTCGCTCTCTTGTCATGCAGCAATAAATTGGTAAACACGTCTCCTTATATAATTGAAGTTTTTATGTATTGTAATAATAAATGGTAGAATCAGGAATATGGTCAATCATCATTGATTAGCCAGAAGTTCAAACACCTTGTCGAACAATTTTCATGAGACATGTGCGCAGTTGGACGCGCCAAAATGTCAATTTTATGAAATATTTTTATTTATTACCACAGATTGTTGTTTTTTTTTCTGTTTGTTTGCATGTATAATGCATATTAAATCATTTGTCCGACAAAAACAATGGGACATATTGATACAATTTAAAAAAAAATAATTTTTTTTGGAAATGCATATGTCTAAATTACACAGAGTTTGTGCATGCCTTAATTTTACAACCATTTTTCCGACTCTTATACAAAATTATAAACAATTATATTTAAAATAAAAAAATCTAATTGTCCGACAAAAATGTTGGGGCAAACGAACAAAAAAATAAATTCTTATTGTATATCGCCGTTCTTAAACTGTAAAGGTGAGTTTTGTCTCCGGAGGCGTGCTGCACGCATCAAGAAATTCGGAGAAAATACTTGGAAATTCCAAGTTTGGCCAAATCCGAATTTCTAATTGACTCGATGCAGGGAAATTCCACTTTTGCTACGTAAAACAAAAGGATTTGTTTTATATAAAAGCAGGTGGATTTTCCCTCATCGGTCAGTCGAGCTTGCCTCTTCTACTGTAGACCTAGTCGGTGCTATTATTGTTCCGACTAAGTTATTGTTTTATTTCTGATTACCTATATACCATTTTCATTTTTAGCATTATTGTATATTCAGACCTTTTCAGTTTAGAATATTACTCTGATCTATATTTGTTCATGTACTTAGGAACACTTACAAATATTTATCTTGC